TCATTTCACTCAGCATCAGACCATTCAAGTCTTTCCAGGTTTTTCTGAAGTCAGCCTGTTCATCATTTCTTTTTTTTGTTTTGTTTTGTTTTGTTTTTGTTTTTAGGCAATTGGGGTTAAGTGACTTGCCCAGGGTCACACAGCTAGTAACTGTCAAGTGTTTGGTCTGAGGCCAGATGTGAACTCAGGTCCTCCTGACTTCAAGGCTGGTGCTCTATTCACTGTGCCACCTAGCCGCCCCCTTCATCATTTCTTATAGCACATGTGTGCTGTAATGTGTGTTCCATTACATTCATTTACCACAACTTGCTCAGCCATTCCCCAATTGACGCGCATCCTCTCAATTTCCAATTCTTTGCCACCACAAAAAGAGCTGCTATGAATATTTTTGTACATGTGGGTTTCTTTCCCACTTCTGTGATCTCTTTGGGGTATAGCCCTAGAAGTGCTATTGCTGGGTCAAAGGGTAGGCACATTTTTATAGCCCTTTGGTCATAATTCCAAATTGCTCTCCAAAATGGTTGGATCATTTCACAACTCCACCAACAATGCACGAGTGTTCCAATTTTCCCGCATCTTCTCCAACATTTATCATTTTCCTGTTTTGTCATGTTGGCCAATCTGATAGGTGTGATGTGGTACCTCAGAGTTGTTTTGGTTTGCATTGCTGTAATCAATAATGATTTAGAGCATTTTTTCATATGCCTATAGATGGCTTTAATTTCTTCACAAGTGATATAATTTAAAAATTATTGGGTTATCAGAAAGAATCGAAGTATTATGGAGCCAAAGTCAGGATCACACAAGATTCAGTAGCTTTTGCCTTAAAGGATCAGACAGTTTGGAATGTGATATTCCAAAGGACAAAGGAGCTAGAAGTACAACCTAGAATCACCTACCAAGAAAAACAAAATGGATATATAATGAGATAAGAGAAGCGTTTCAAGCATTTCTGATGAAAAGACCAGAGCTGAATAGAAAATCTGACTTTCAAATGCAAGACTCAAGAGAAGCATAAAAAGGTAATAAGTAAAGAGAAATGATAAGAGACTTCATAGGTTTAAACTATTTCTATTCCTACATGGGAAAATGATATCTGTAACTTATAAGACCTTTCACATTGTCAGGGTAATGAGAAGAAGTCTATATAGACAGAGGGCACAGGTGTGAGTTGAATATGAAGGGATGATATCTAAAAAGTAAAATTAAGAGGTCAGGGAGAATGTACTGGGAGAAAAGGAGAGGGGAGAGTAGGGCAAATTATGTCACATAAAAGGCTAGAAAGAGCTTTTACAGTGAGAGGAAGAAGAGGTAAGTGAGGGGAAGTGAGTGAACCTTATTCTCATCAGAATTGGTTCAAAGTAGGAATAACATACAGCTGCAATTGGGCTTAGAAATCTCTTACCCCACAGGAAAGTTGGAGGAGAAGGGGATATGAGAAGGGGTAGGGGTTATAGAAGACAGGGCAGATTGGGGGACAAAGTAGTCAGAAGCAAACACTTTTGTGGAGTAACAGGGTGAAAGGAGAGAGAGAAAAGAATAAACAGGTGGAAGGAAATAGGATGGAGGGAAAGACAGTTAGCAACAGTAAGTGGAAAAATTTTGAAGAAAGTTTCTCTGATAAAGGCATCATACAGAACTGAGGCAAATTTATAAAAATTAGAGTCATTCCCCAATTGATAAATGATCAGAAGATATGATCAGTTTTCAGATGAAGTAATCAAAGCTTTCTATCGTCATATAAAAAATAATCTAAGTCATTATTGATTCAAGAAATGTAAATTTAAACAATTTTGAGATACTACCTCATGACTATTAGATTGGCTAATAGGATAGGAAAGGGAAATGATATTGTTGGAAGGGACATGGGGAAAATGAGACATTAATGTACTGTTGGTGTAGTTCTGAACTGATTCAACCATTCTGTACAGCCATTTGGAACTATGTCCAAAGGCCTATAAAAGCATACATACCCATTGACCTATCAATACCACTACTAGCTCTGTATTCCAAACAAGATTAAAAAAATAATAAAAGGAAGACCCATATGTACAAAAACATTTATAGCAGCTCTTTTCTGAGGGCAAAGAAGTAGAAATTGAGGTAATGCCCATCAATTGAGGAATGGCTGAACGAGTTGTAATATGTGATTATGCTGGAATACTATTGTCATAATGAGCTGGATGCTCTCTGAAAAAGGAAAGACTTGCATGGGCTGATGCAAAACGAAATGTACTGTGTACAAAGTAACAGCAATATTGTAAGATGAATGACTTAGCTATTCTCAGAAATACAATGATCCACAACAACTCTGAAAAAGACTTATTTATGGTGAAAAATGCTATCTATCCCCAGAGAAAGAACTGATGGTGTGTGAGTACAGAGTGAAGCATACTTTTTTAAACTTTATTTTTCATGAGTTTTTTTTTCTTGTTCTATGTTTCATTTTACAACATGACTATTATGGAAATGTTTTGCATGACTACACATGTATAATCTATATCGAATTCCTTGCCTTCTCAATGATGGTGCATGGAAAGGGAAGAAAGGAGAGAATTTGGAACTCAAAGTTTTGAAAATGATGTTAAAAATGTTTTTTAAATGTAACTGGGGAAAAATAAAATATTAAATATTTTTTAAAGGAGAGCAGAAAATGGGAGGAAATAGTCAAAATCAAATAAAAGTAATAGCTAGAGTTTAGACAGTACCTACTATGCATGTGTCATGCACTGCATAAATATTGTCTCATTTTATTCTCATGAGAACCCTAACAGTTAGGTGCTCTTCTTATCCTCATTTCGCAGATTAAAAAAAAATTGAGACAGAATTCGTGTGATTAACCTAATGTCATAGAGCTAGCAAGTTTGTGAAGTGGGGTCAGAACACAAGTCTTCCTGATTTGAGGCCCAGCATTCTATCCACTGCACCACCACTTGTATTCTGATTTTTAAAGAGAATAGGGTGAAAATGCTCACTCCATGGATGAGGTGAAAAATGGAAGGAGAATTTGACAAGCTTCTGGTAAAGGATGGAAATTAATTTTTTTTAAACTCTCTAACATTAAGTCAAAGCGAACTACTAATTACTATTACAAAGATTTCTTTTTCTATTGGCTCAACATAGCATTAAATAACAGATGTACTTGAAGGTCAATTGCAAATATTGATTTAGGGGGGTTTTATTACTAATAATTATATACAAAACAATCTTTGAAAGGATAGAATTTGTTTAGACATAACTTTGTTTTTTCTACTACTGATAAACTAGCTATACATTCAGTGAAACTCTACTGAATAACTAACCCACATTGTCAACCAAGTCCTTTGAAAAGTTTGGATGGAAAAAGTAACATAAACAAAGGAGAATTTCAAATTAGAAAACAACCTTACTGTTTCCATGGTCTGTTTTTATAGAAAGGTTATGGTGGTCCATAATGGTTTCATGATGACCTTTACCTTGCATGCCTAGTGATCATGATTTTCAAATAGCCTGCCATCACTGTTGTAAGAATGCAAACCCAAGTAAGGTCTGGATCTGGCAATTACAAGGTAGACCAAGAATGAGAGAACTACTCTGGTGCAGTGATAGCCATGATATTCTCTGTATTCCTGTGACACATGAATGTCCAACCTTTCTGGAAGTTTGGAAACAATTTGATGTCAGGTTGAGAAACTGTAAGAATATGTTGCATATAGTCAGAAGCAGTCGGAGTTTGAGTTACTTGCTGCACAATTCCCAAAAGCAGTGTAGTCCAGATCATTGTATTTTGGAATCAGTGCAGAAAGACTGCTGTTAAGGTTGAAACATTCACATACTTGATGTTTCAGAAGATAAATATCTTTGTAACCAAACTGGACAATTATTTACCACTTAAGGTGCCACTGACGAATTTTTAGCTCAAATCTCTTGAATCGTTGACACAATCCTTGAAGGGGTTTGTGAACCTTGAAGGGGGAAGAAGTGCAAGAGGTCCAGTATTGAAGCACTCTGTCCATTTTTGTAGAAAAAGATGATGAACTAAAATTCCTATATCAGACCCATATTTTCAGATATGGGCAATGCCATGCATTCTTTTAATTGGGTATTTTAGAAGGATTTTAATTTTATTTTATTGAGCAGATAAATTTAATGATTTTTTTAAAAGAAATAAGTAATGGCTATCTAAAAAAATCAATGGGTCATAGGTTCAAGTCCAGCCTCAGACAGTTCACATTAGCTGTGTGACCCTAGGCAAGTCACTTTACCCCAATTTCCTCACCAAAAAGAAATTAATGGGTCAGAGCAAAATCTCTTATGCCTCAGGCAAATAAAAAAAAAAGTTGGCATTCTACATGTGACATCAGATAATGCGAGAGAAAAAATAAGATTGAAATTGATCACCAGGGAAATTATATTTGGCTTACAGGTAGGATAGATCATGAAATAATTTGAATATTTAGTATATGTGCACCAAATGACATTGTGTCTATGAAGAAAGGATTGAAAGTGCAGGCAATGAAAGGGAAAGGGAAAGATTAAAGTGGAGATAATTAATCAAATACTGTGCAAAGAGCGTGGTCATTGATGATATTTGAATTCTAGTCTTACCTGTTGGGATTTTGGTGAAGTCCCTCAGACATTCTGAGCTCATAGTCTGAGTGGTGAAAGTGATGAGAATAATGGCCTTGCCTGGGTCACAGGTTTGTTGTGAAGATCCATTGTGACTATGGGTGAAGCTCTTTGTAAATTAAATCATCTTTGGGATATGAGCTAAGGGCATTTTAAATTATTAGTTCAGCCCTTTTTAGATTGTTCTCTTTGAATGAGGAAATAAAAAAGTAAATGAGTTTATGTTCTGCAAATGAAATGAAGGTAATATAAATAGATTTATGCATGTGGATAGTTTCTGTATTTGTTTTATTGTTGGGTTCTTTTTTTCAGAAGGAGAGAGCAGTCTTGAAAAGAAGGAAACTACTGTAGAGCTAAGAGTTTCTGTGGAAGAAACTCAAAAGCAAAGATTCATGAATGATGGTCCTGTTCACATCAATTGCAGAGAAATCTGTGCTACACTTGAGAGAATCCACACGAGAGAGAAATCTTATGAATGTAACCAATGTGGAAAGACTTTTACATGGAAGGGTGGTCTTGTTCAACATCAGAGAATCCATAGAGAGAGAGAAACGTTATGACTGTAATCAATGTGGAAAGGTTTTTAGAGACAGGAGTGTTCTTACTCGACATCAGAGAATCCACACTGGAGAGAAACCTTATAAATGTAATCAATGTGGAAAGGCTTTTACAAGGAAGTCTGGTTTTATTTTGCATCAGAGAATCCACACTGGAGATAAACAGTATGAATGTAATCAATGTGGAAAGACTTTTACATGCAAGGGCACTCTTGTTCAGCATCAGAGAACCCACAATGGACAGAAACCTTATGAATGTAAACAATGTGGAAAGGCTTTTAGGGAAAGCAGAGGTCTTATTGTACATCAGAGAACCCACACTGGAGAGAAACCTTATGAATGTAAGCAATGTGGAAAGACTTTTACATGGAAGGACAGTCTGGTTCAACATCAGAGAATCCACACTGGAGAGAAACCTTATGAATGTAATCAATGTGGAAAGGCTTTTAAGTGGTCTACCAATCTTACTGTACATCAAAGAATGCACACTGGAGAAACACCTTATGAGTGTAATCAATGTGGAAAGGCTTTTAAATGGTATACCAGCCTTACTCTACATCAGAGAATGCACACTGGAGAGAAACCTTATAACTGTAATCAATGTGGAAAGGCTTTTAGGGAAAGTAGAGCTCTTACTCTACATCAGAGTATCCATACTGGAGAGAAACCTTATGACTGTAATCAGTGTGGAAAGACTTTTAAAAAGAAGGCTCAGCTTGTTGTACATCAGAGAACCCACTCTGGAGAGAAACCTTACAAATGTAATCAATGTGGAAAGGCTTTTAAATGGTGGAACAGTCTTACTCTACATCAGAGCATCCACACTGGAGAGAAACTTTATGAATGTAATCAATGTGGAAAGACTTATACACATAAGGCCAGTCTTGTTCAACATCAAAAAATCCACACTGGAGAGAAGCCTTATAAATGTAATCAATGTGGAAAGACTTTCAGATGTAGGAAGAGCATTCATTTACATCAGAGAATCCACACTGGAGAGAAACCTTATAAATGCAATCAATGTGGAAAGGCTTATAAATGGTGGAACAGTCTTACTCTACATCAGAGAATCCACACTGGAGAGAACCTGTATGAATGTAATCAATGTGGAAAGACTTATAGACGGAAGGACAGTCTTATTCAACATCAGAGAATGCACAATGGAGAGAAACCTTATAAATGTAATCAATGTGGAAAGACTTATACATGGAAGGACAGTCTTGTTCAACACCAGAGAATCCACACTGGAGAGAAACCTTATAAATGCAATCAATGTGGAAAGACTTTCAGATGTAGGAAGAGTATTGGTGAACATCAAAGAATCCACACTGGAGAGAAACCTTATGAATGTAATCAATGTGGAAAGGCTTTTACGTGGAAGGATGGTCTTGTTCAACATCAGAGAATCCACACTGGAGAGAAACCTTATGAATGCAATCAATGTGGAAAGGCTTTTAAGTGGTGTACCACACTTACTGTACATCAGAGAATCCACACTGGAGAGACACCTTATGAATGCAATCAATGTGGAAAGGCTTTTAAATGGTATACCAGTCTTATTCTACACCAGAGAATGCACACTGGAGAGAAACCTTATGACTGTAATCAATGTGGAAAGGCTTTTAGGACAAGTAGAGCTCTTACTCAGCATCAGAGAATCCACACTGGAGAGAAACCTTAGGAAATTGATCAATGTGGAAAGGCTTATAAATGGTGTTCTAGTCTTACTCTTCATCAGAGAATCCATACTGCAGAGAAACCTTACAAAAGTAACCAATGTGGAAAAGCTTTTACATGGATGGACCACACTTACTCTACATTAGAGAATACACATTGGAGAGGGTCATAGGACTAACAAATTTATGATGTTGGCTTGGAACTCAGGTCTTTGTGATTTGAGGCCCAGCATTCTATCTACTGCACCACCAGTTGTATTCTGATTTTTAAAGAGAATAGGGTGAAAATGTTCACTCATGGATGAGGTGGAAAATGGAAGGAGAATTCGACAAGCTCCTGCTGAGAGATGGAAATTCTCTTTTTTTTTAACTCCCTAACTAGTCAAAATGAATTGTTAATTACTATTACAAAGATTTTTTTTCTATTGACTCAGAAGTACTGCATTAGATGACAATTGTATTTCAGCTTCAGTTGTAAATATTGATTTTTTTTTATTATTTATATACAAAACAATCTTTGAAAGGATAGAATTTTTTCAGACATAACTTGGTTTTCTCTACCACTGGTAAATTGGCTATACTTTCACTGAAACTCTACTGAATTACTAATGAATAGTCTAACTCACCTTACCAACCAATTCCTTTAAGAAGCAGCAAGAAAGAAGAAGAGTAATATAATCAAGGGAGAATCTCAAATTAGAAAACAACCTTAGCATTTGAGTGGTCTGTTTTTGTAGAAAGATTGTGGTGGTCCATGATGATTTTGTGATGACCTCTACTGTGCATGGCTGGTGATAACGGTTTTCAAATAGCCTGCCACCACTGCTGTAAGAATGCAAACCTAAGTAAGATCTTGAACAGGTGATTTCAGACTTGATGAGATGTGATTACAAGGTAACACATGAATGAGAAGTACTCAGGTGCAGCGATAGGCACTGAAGGTCTTTGCATTCCTGTGACCATGTGCACATGAATGTCCAACCTTCCTGCAAGTTTGGAAACAATTTGATGTCAAGTTGAGAAACTGAAAGAATATGTTGCACATAGTTAGAAGCAATCAGAGTTTGAGGTGCTCACTCAACAGTCTCCCAAAGAAGTGTATTCCTGATCATTACAGTTTGGAATCACTGCAGAAAGACTACTGTCAAAGTTGAAACATGTACATACTTGATGCTCCAGAAAATAAATATCTTTGTAAACTAAATTGGACAACTGTTTACCACTTGAGGTGGCCCTGACATTTTTAGCTCAAATCCCATGGACCATTGACACAATCCTTGAAGGGGTTTGTGAACCTTGAGGATCAATAGTGAAGTACATTGGCCACTTCTGTACAAAAGTGTCAACTCAAATTCCTGTATCAGACACATTTTCAGACATGGGCAATCCATGCATTTTTTTAAAACTCTTTTTTAGAATGATTTTAATTTTATTTTAGTGACCAGAGACACTTAAAGATATATATTTTTAAAAGAAATAAGTAATGGCTTTCTTAAAAAATTAATGGTCAAAAGAATATCACATGCCCTGAGGTAAATACAAAAAAAACCAATGTTGGTATTCTGAATGTGACCTCAGATAATGGAACAGAAAAAAAAAATAAGTTTGAAAATGACCTTCAGGAAAATTACATTATGCTTATTTAGCTTATGTCCACCAAAGGCATTGTATCTATGAAGAATGGGTTTAAACTACAGATAGGGAAAGGGAAAGATTGAAAGTGAAGATAATTTATTGAGTACTGTGGATACCGCATGCCCATTCTCAAGGTTTGAGTTCTAGTATCAGCTGTTGGAATTTGGCTTAAGTCACTCAGCCATTCTTATCTCATGGCTAGAGTTGTGGATGTGATGAGATGATGGCCCTATCCGTGTCACAGGTGTGTTGTGAAGATCCAATGTAATGGTGCATGAAGCTCTTTGTAAATTAAGTCATCCTTGGCTAATGGCATTTGCAAATCATTAGTTCTTCCTATTTAAGATTTTTCTCTTTTCCTGGAGAAATAGAAAATTGCTGAGTTTATATTCTGCTGATGGAGGGAAGGGAATATAATGTGTGTGTATGGTCTGTATTTGTTTTATTGTGATTTTTTTTTAAGAAGGAGAGGGGAGATCAGACTACAAATGAAGGAAACAGAGCTAAGAGTTTCTTTGGAAAAAAATTACAAGCAAAGATTCATGAATGGTGGCCCCTGTGGCTTCAGTTGGAGAAAAATCTGCTGCGCATGAGAGAAGCCACAGTGAAGAGAAACATTGTGACTGTAAACAATGTAGAAAGGCTTTTTACAGAGAAGAGCTATCTCATTGGACAACAGAGAATACACAGTGGAGAGAAATCATATGAATGTAATCAATACAGAAAGGCTTATACATGGAAGAACAGTCTTCTTCAACATCAGAGAAGCCATGCTAGAGAGAAACCTTATAAGTCTACTCAATATGGAGAGGCTTTTGCATGGATGAAACATCTTACTCAACATCAGAAAGTCCATACTAGAGCAAACCTTTATGACTGTAATCAGTGTTTAAAGTCTCTCAGATCTAGGTCCAAATTTGCTGAACACAGGAAAATCCACACTGGAAAGAAACCTTTTGAATGTAACCAATGAGGTAAGGCTTTTACACCAAGGGATCATCTTACCTGATATCAGAGTACATACATTGGCAAGAAACCTTAAGAAAATAATCAATGTGGTAATGCCTTCAGGCTAAAGACAGTCCTTGTTTACCATCAGAGAATCCATAGGAAATAAAGGAATCTTATAACTGACCTGAATGAGTAAAGGCATTGAAATGGAGTACAGAGCTTCTTAGCAGAAAATTCACTCTAGGTACAAGCCATCTATGGACTTCATATGGGAAGGCTTTTAGCCAGAGATCATCTCTTATCCTCTCATCAGGGGATTTGTAATGAAAAGAAACTTTATGAATGTGCTCAGTGGAACATGCCTTTCTCTAGAACATGAAGGTAACTAGTGAAGGTTAAATTTGGGGTCTGACTATAATAGGAAGGTAAGATAAGGAAAATAATCCATGCCCACCCTCCTGGTTGCAAAACCAAAAAAGGAGGCAATAGGCCCATAAACCGCAGAACTGTCTGAGAATCCATCTGGTTGTTCTCAGAAATAGAATGTCTTCAGAATGAGGAAAAGCCTTTGTGTCAATACTGTGTTGACTGGGAAACAATCTTTGGTGAAGGGAAGAAATCGGATTTGTTTGATCAAGGATATAAAAATTGGGGCAATTTAGGGTAATTTTGTGGTCTCCCACAGGCCACCTATATGCACTTATTCATCTTACATCCAGGCCACTACATGTGACAGTTAAGAAAATTCTCATTAAGTTGAGATAGTTTCTGCCTCCTGATTTTTGTGATGGACTTAAGAACAGAACCATTGTGTGAACAAAGCAGCCACTGCTAAACAGGTAAGAGGCCTGGCAATTTCTATCTACAAAGCTTCCCTCAGTTGGAAGGGAAATCTGAAGGAACTGAGTTCCATGTCAGAGGCATTTGGGCTACTTGTCACATGCTGTCTATGAATGAGTGAAAGGCTCAGTTCCTGATGATAGCACCCTCATCAGAGTAATGGTTTCCAGTTCAGAGACCAACAGGTTGGACATAGGGAAGCAATTCAAGAGGCACTATAGAAAGTCTCCATATCCTCCCACCAAGGCAAGTCAGAAAAGGCAAACACTGATAGGAAGAAAGGTTTCTGATGAAATTCATCTGGAGTCTAATGAGGACCCAAGCCAGCGTCTTGTTCCCTTGTCACTGAATTTATCAGAGAATCTTGAGTTGGAAGGGCCCTCAGAGGCCATCCAGTCCAAACTCATGCCTGCAGAGGCCTTTTTAAACCTTTCTCCTTGAAGACCTGCTAGGAAGGCAGCCCATTATTAGGACACTGTTCATCCCATCAGGCTGACTCTGCCTCCTGCAGCTTACACTCATCGTCCTGGGTCTTCCCTCTGGGCTCAAGCAGAACAAATGTGATTGGTCTTAGATGTGACAGCCTTTCAGGTATTTGATGAGTATTTTGTGTTGCCTGCCAAGTTTTCTCTTCTTCTGGATAAGCTGCCTCAGTTCTTTCGACTCATTTGGCATGGTCTCTAGTCCATCATATTCACAGCCCTTCTTTGGATGTGTTCCAACTTGTCAGTGCCTCTTTTTGATTATCTCCAGTTTATCATAGATAGATAGAAATAACTCCCTTGTTGCTCCATACTTATTTCTGGAGGTAGCTGCCAAAGGTGCCATCAAACTGGAATAGAAATTAGTTTATAAATCGATTCCTCAGTCATGTAACCACAACTTTGGGATCCTAAAATCTGTCAGTCTATCAGCCAGGATGATGGCATTCCTGGAAATATTGTTTCTAGGTGTTTTTGTACAATTAGAGGAAATTTGTTATCTATCATTAGTTATTTCTGCAAGATCCAGGTGGAAAGTATCAATATTTTCAAGGTGAAAAGAGGGGCTGTTTCCAGCCCACATTTCAGACTTTCAGCCAATCACATTGTCCCTGCCTCCATGATGCTGTCAGTTCTTTAACCATTTATATTGTTTTCTCCACCTATCAACTTCTGTTCTTTGTTTTATTTTTTCTTGAATATGTATTTTTTACTGAAAAACAAAATCATTCATAAATTAACATACGAAAATGTCTAAACACATGAGAAAATAAGATAATGACAAAGGACTACTTTTGTGAAAAGTGTATGGTCTGTTTGTTTTTTAAACATCTTTAGAATTCCGTGCAAAAAATGTACCCCTGGCACCTCTTGAAAACATAAAGGTCAAGTTCAAAAAACCTAGTGGTGGACAAAACTGCCTCTGGCCCAGGACTTTGAGCTCAATGGGGAAGCCATTGGCCCTCTTTTTCAGTAAATTCATGTTGACAAATAAACTGCTAGTGCTCAGATCTTTGTACTTCAGTTGACTTGATTTTCCCTGTGACAATCGTGGTCCAGACACCACTAATGCAATCTCTCCTGAAGGAAGGCTTTAGCTTATGGTATCTAAGCATGGAAACCATTGTCATCAAAATAGACCTGATTGCCTTGAGGCCATCATGACAGTCCTGGCTGATTTGTTGTTCAGTCATTTCAGTCATATCTGACTCTTTGTGACCCCATTTTGGTAGGAGTAGAGTTCTTGGCAAAGATGCTGGA